TGAGAATGCTCTCTGCTCTTATTGCGCTAGATTTATATATAATAATGAAAAATTTTCGACACCTGTCCAGGCCCTATTAATCCTCAAATATGATAGTCTGCTTCGTAAAAAAGCCGCCAGTACGTAGCAAAGTGCTAATACAAAGTAATGAGAGATGTCCTGACTGGCTTTGAAGGTTAATCAGTGATCCGTAGCGGCGGAGCACCTCCCACCCCAGACAATGTTAATACGTTCATGTACACTAGACACAATCATTATGATACATATTTCTTGAGTTCATTTTACAAAGGTGTGCATGATTAAGGTGCCAAAATCCCTGGTATAAACTGCAAAAGCGCAATCGTTAGCACATTCTGGGTGATAACAGGAACAACATATCTAAATAGCACGCTCTAGCTCTAAAATTTGAGTGAGCTACAGCCACCGACGTGGGTGCGTGATCTAATGTGGCGTGGACTGTAAAAAAATTAGCATTAGTTATAAGCCCCTTTCGAAAGAAACTAAATTAAAGTCCATATTAACAAATTTGTCAAATTTTGTACACATATAATCAAAAACCCGCGGCTCATCACCCTAGCAAATAATACAGCTTGAACAGCATCCTTCACGTGGACGACTATTGCCTTGTTGCTGATTCTCAGTAGTTGCATCTGACGCGACTACTGCAGTGGGTTTCAAGCAGTTAGCAACCTCCCCGTCACGCCACAAATCGCTCGTGGTCACTGCCGGCAGTTTCGTCGGCTTGACGAGACTCAGTGCATTGCACACGGCTTCCGGTTCAGGAATCTACGTAAGCAAACAATGAGCCAACCAGATAAGAAACTTGAAAAGTTGGTAGACAAATACTCTCATCGACTTGCCGGTTCGTAGTAAACGCTGTCGTTGCGGTGCGTGACAATGTCCAAGTCTCGGCTGATGATCTGCTGCGACCGGAGAAATACGGTCGACAGCAAGGTCACGCGCTCCTTTTCCTCTTTGTCTGCTGCCATCTTGCCCTCGTATCTTTTCTCCAGTGGTCCAACTGCTTCAAAGAGAACGGATGCCTTTTTCAGATTAGCAACTGCCTGCACACAGTTTCGTGCATCTTCCTTTTGCATACAAGCAGCGCCTTGGAAATACGTTGACATGGCCTGGTAGTAGGGTTCCTTGTAGGCACAGTAGAGACGGACGCGTTCGGCTGTGATTGACGTTGAATAGGTGAGCAACATCGATGCAATCTTCATGCACTCTGCAATAGAAAACATAAATAAGATAATTCGTGGTTATAAGAAGAAGGAAGGCAAATGCCTACCATTAAGAGATGACGCACCTTTGTATCTGGCCGAAATGTCCACCGACAGCTTGGCAAGGAGAGTGTAATCAGCGACTTCACGAGTCACGCCACGTAGCACAACAAGCTCCTGCGCCTCAGCAAGAGCAATCCACACCAACAACTGGGGAAAGCGACCAGCTGCCAGATCTGGCACCCGCTTGAGCATCTCGAGGTCCTCCTCAACGACGGACGCAGCAGGTTTGGCTGAAATACCTTTTGTAGTTTCAATCCTGTCATAAGCAGTTTCCTGTCGCTTGTCCTGATGAGCTTGACGTTGCTCCTTGCGCCACTTGGCCATCATATCGATGTCCGGCACGACTCCAACACCGTCGAAAGACGTGACACGCCTCTAGTACTCCAGCCGCATGCAGCAGAAGCTGGTAGGCGAGTTTTAGCTGCGTTTCGTCGAGCTCCGACAGTCTCTCAGACAGAATGGCGTCCACTTTGTTTCCGGCGTCGCGCATCATCAAGATACCACAAGCCAGCAGTACGTGTGCATACTCCTGTCTTGCACTGCGAGCGTACAATGTTTGACTCGTGAGCGCGTCTTGCCAGCGACAAAAGCTGAGGCACCCACTGCAGTCTGTGGCAGTAGCAGCAATAGCTTGACCGTTTGCAGGCTGTCCGCTGTCCTTCACAAGTGGCTGGCGTAGCGCATCACCTACGGTCGCGTCGGTTACCGATACCGACGCCTGCAGCGCCGCGTCGGCATTTTTCGTGGCGCTCTTGCGCGATTCCGTGAAGCCCCTGACGAGCGTCAGGTACTGCGTCAATTTTCGCGTGTACTTCGGAATATCGTCGGGTGACTGGAAGAGAGACTTGGAGACGATAATGCTCTCCAGATGCAGCGCGGCACGGGCGGCGCTGAGGTCGCTAGCGAGTCGCTGAACACCCTCGGCCTTGGATGACACGCCGAATTTGCGCGATTCAAACAAGAATTGGGGCTGTGAGTAGAAAAATTAGTGAATAATTCACCATGGGGTCAGATCTACTGGGTGGATGCACTCACGTTGCTGCTGCATTTACGGCCCGGGGTGAGCGCGTGGCAGCACAGCGGAAGAGGCTCGCCGGGGTCATCGGTGATTGTGGATGAAAATGGACAAGCTGGATTTTGAAGCCAATTTACAACCAGCGGCAAGTCTTATCTAAGGCTTAACGGCGAGTGTTATGACCTGAGTTTTAAAATAAGACCCACGAGTCTCTCCGTTTTGCCAGCAGGAAGTCTTAATCAGCAGTCATAATTACCCCCTGAATCTTCTTCCAGGTCGATGTCGCTCCCACCGTGGATGTTGGGGGCTATGGAGAACGCAGACGACTCGGATGACGAGTAGTTTCGGTTGTTTATCCTGCCAGAGGCGCAAACAAAGACCAAGCGCAAGCACGGGGGTTCAGAGCCGGGAAAGCGTGCCGACAAGGAGCGAAAACGATCAAAGTGGGGGGGAGAGCTTATGTGAGGTGATTGCATGAATAGGCTGAAGTGAAGTTGCTGCTCTAATATATCTGCTTTCTTTTCGGACGCGGCGACAAAGCGCATGTGGGCATCGACGGGTAAGTTGGTGTCATCCCGAGCCTTCTTCTTCTTGGCCGCTTTCTGTCCCTCTGGACGCGCAACCAAATCACCGTCACCCGACTTGCGTTTGTTGCCAGCATGAATAGAAGTAGTCAATTTCCCGGTCCACTTCGGCTTATCACGCAGCTCCTTCCACGCCGCCAGATACTCAAACGGATGTTTCGTGCGCTCTTCGTATATCTTCGCCGTGTTCTCGACTGTGGTGTAGTGATTTCTCCGTAGTTGCGGATTATCACCCGTCGACAAAGACGTGACACCGCCCAAGATGTTCAAGCAACGAACCCTCGGTCATGTGATGTACGGAGACGCCAAGGTGCAAGGGACTCGACGGCGTCACTCCCGAGCTTTCAACAAGTATCGGATACGGGCATATGTCACTGAATCCAGGCTGTCCTTATTATTAATAACGGACTGGCCGGATTCGCATTCAGCGGACCATCTACGGTACGAACCCTCAGTGGCGGTTGGGATGAGTTCGCAGAAGACTCAGCGACCCTTGGAAGGCACTTTCACCGTCTGGGACAGGGCGCGGACCGTTAAAGATACGCATGCGACGGTGCAGACGACGCTTGGCGTGCAAGAAGATCCATAACGGATCATTGTTCACTTGATATTTGTATACTTGATTAGGACTTCTTATTAGGAATAGCCCCGAAAGGGTAAGCTTAAATACCGAACAGAATTTCCACTCAAGCACACAGAGCGACGTCCGGCTTCAAGATAAGCGTCTGGTCAAGCTTGTTTGAGTGTGTCATCCCTGTCGGTGAACTCGAAGCTCTGTAGCGAGGGTTCATCCCCCAAGGCCAAGAGACTTTGTGTATTGCCGACTACTATCGGGGAGGTT